TCAAGGGAATGGTGGTACACGCATTCACGAACAAGTATGATTTCGGAATGTTTGCAGTATTTGGTAATAAATCTTTTTTTGAGTTTCTCAGTCGTGCTACTACTTATTTCGATGCCTAAACGTGCCACGCTTTAGCTAGATGCAGGGGTATGGAGGTGTACTGAGGAATTGTGCTGACAGGAACCACTTTCCTTTCCATGAAATGTGCTTTTTTTACAAAATTCGAAGTGCTGATTTGACTTAGCTATCTCTCTCATCTATAGTTTAAGAAAATTTCAGAGTCCTTATGGCAATTTCCTTGGTTGATTTTGGCTCTAAATTAAAAATTCCTGATTCGCGGTCTGGCATTAAGTCTGCTGTGCACGCCGAGTGGCAAACTTATTCACGACGCAAGTCTTTAAATGTAAAGTTCTATTTTTCATTTCTGATTAAAATTGAACTCGTTTTTTAACGTCTTCTTGGGTGATTTTAAAAACCTAACGCATATAATGGTTACCAATCCAAGTTGTTTCGGATTTATGCTAAGAGACGTCTTCAATCCTCTTATGGGGGCATTGTTTAAATTTCGCCATTCGGTGGGAGTGTCGCCTTGTTCATTCGTGGAACAGATCGCAAATTTTACGGATCATTCATTGCTGGATATTTTGTCTAAAAAGATTTAGATTTTTCGGCAACATATTTTTATGATGCTTAAAATAGGAGACCTTATGGTTTATATGATGCACAAACCCTAAGTCGTGTGCAAGGCGTTTCGATGAAATCATAAATTTCCCTCTTTTTAGGTTTTCCCTTGTATTCAACGTTTTCTGAAGATGCGAGGTGCGTCCACGTCGACTCTTATGGAGACTGTTAGAGGTTCGTTTTTCTGTCACCCTATTTTCCTTTTCATTGGTTCACAAAGTAGTGACTGATTTTACCAAATTTATGTATTTCAGTATCTAGAGTGATTTAGGGGAATCATGGCTCTCAGTATTGTCATCAAAAGTCATTCCTTTTAGTCAAGTGCCAAGTTATTATTTATTCCACTTTACTGTTTGCCAGCCGGACACATCAAAACAGTGTCTTTGGCCGCCTTTTCCTTCAAAGCACGGCCGATGTCCTTTCACTATGGTGGTTGCGAATCACGATGTTCCCGTTTAACTAACCGTTTGCATTCGGACCTGATTTACTTCAAAGAACTCTGTCCACTCTCAAAATTAGGTCCTTTTGTTTTATTCTACTAGGTCTACTGTTTACGAACCTCTCTTTTCATTGCCAAAGATGCGTAAAAATTGCTTCACCGTTGCTACTTTTCGCTTGTCTAGACTACGCGGAGAGTCTGGGTGAGAGTCGAACCGCCATGACAACTGAAAAGGCGCGAGTCCTGCGTCTCATTGGTAAATTCGGCGAACTGAACGCTAAATCTCCCTTTCCCGTCCCTGCTGATCACAATAACCCTCCGCCTCCACCTCTACCGCAATGAACCCATCATGAATGACTACAATCATGCAGTTTTCATTCCGGAGGGTGTTTATTCAGTTCAATATCCCCGCGTAGGCGAATGTTTAAGTTAGGACAGTACTATGAAGCTCGAAGCACAAAATACGTAATTGTCTATCGACCATTAAAGCAATACAGCAATTGTTAATAGTTTTATGTTAAGTAATCGCTGAAAGCCATGTGGGGGCATTGAGTTGGGTAACTTACGCCAGGAATTCTCTTCAAATAGTTTGTTGTGGGGATATCCGTGAGCGGCGAAACGAAGAAGGTAGGGTTGATTCCATGCAAGTGTAGGCCTTGAGTTGTCTTCGAAGGCGTTATGGTCCAAATAAATGTGGTCTCGGCCTTACCGTGGGTGTAATGAAGAGTCCGGAAAGCAAGTGGTGCTGACATGGTAGCAATTTTCAGAATTAGAAGCAGACGTTCTAGTGGATCCCCGAATAGCAGTTTTGAAGTTATTCCCCAGTAATTCGCATTTCGCTGGTTCAAATCGATAGTGGATTGTGTATTTTGTTGGCAAAACAATCGACACGAAAATTAGGTTTTGGAATAAATTGCTAGCTGATTGTTTTGACAACTAGGAGTTTGGTAACCGAGTTTTCTAGCCAAATTGTTTTTTATGATATGTGTGGCGGGGGACCACCGTAGTACATACCTACTGAAACACCGATATGCGAGGTGCTCGACTCGCGGGCGCGTAGGTAGCTAGAGGATGCACATCGGTAAGTACCGGTAGGCATAGTTACCACGTGTAAAGTACGTGTAAAGAACGAGTGCTGCCATGTTACTTCGTGCCTGGGCTACTTTGATATGGTAATCACTGGGTCAAAAACCTCTGTCAACTCCACTTCAAGTAGATCCAATACAGAGATCTTTTAGTGCTGCCGAACGCCATCCGCCATTGGACAAAAGTTTGATGAAAAAAAAAAAACGACTTCCTTGGCTAATTACCTTAAGAAACTCTGAAAAGTAATCCGCATAAGAAGAGGTCTCATCACTATTAAGTCCTTGGCGAATTTACCCTATTAGCTAAGCCAAGCAAAAAAATACCCATTTAGAGAATCCACTTTTTAAATATCCCTTTCCTTAATGATGGTGGGTTGAAGTCCAACTTTGAAGAATAGACTCTTATCTATGGTCAAAAAGCCTACGCTAAAAAGGACTTGTGGATTAGTCAAAACATCATTCAGTAAAAACAGGTAACTAATATTTTTCTCTCAAAAGAATGTCAAGTGCGTAACAAATAATAATTAATTAATTCTCAAATTAATCCTTTTTATATTCTCTTGGTCGTGGCTTATATTTTACCATTGCTAAGATTTGTATTGAAATAGTGAAATTATTCTGCCCAAATCGTAATGGAAAGGGGGATATTATTGCTGGAAATAAGTTAAAAGACATTAGCACAGGCTTTTCGATGCCAGTAAATATGCTGCTCACGTTTGCTACAAAATCTACCTTAATCAATCTTTATTTGGACTGTTATCAATACCATCGATACTGTCCGTCGTTCATTTACGTACTTGTGTAATTTACATGGATTTGACATGTTTTTCTTTACAAATAGAGGTTTAATTTCCCTCTTATAAACTATTGCTCAGTCATTAGAAAGGAGCCTATCAAATCCTTAGTAGCGCCCCTAGGCTTCCTCGAGGGCGAAATTAGACATTCTACTTGAACAGAATGTGCATTGTCAATGCACAGCAGAACTTGGGGTTACTGACATAGCCTGGAGGCCGAGCCACCCGGCAAAGACACAATGGCGGAGCTCCTAAGGGACGTGTTACACAAATTGAGAGTTAAACAAACAGTTGACGGGCTACACTTCAATAAATGTCCGCTGTTAGTGACTTATAGGTGAAAAGAGGAAAAAAACATTGGTTTTTAGGATAAGGCACTAAGGGCTTCATTTGACTTTTAGTGCCTATGCTAATATTATACCATTTCTGAGAGAAAAAATCAATTATAGAGTCATTCGGGTCACCTCTCACCAAAGACCGACACTTGGAGCAGGACGGAGGAAGCGAAGGAACCTTGCTCTCCTTTCGCTCACCATCCAATAGTCCGTACACGATCGTTGCAAATATCACTACTTGTACATCACACTTTAGTCAGCAGCAATGATCGCCGTGGACAGATTCACCAATTCCTCTATTCTCCTTCTTTTTTGCAGTCCAATATTAGTTTCATGGACTAAAAAAACGAAACTATTAGGATTATTCTGCCTTATTCCTCCCCTTCTAGTTTGATTAAGCGTCTACACCTGATTTACCCCATGTAAACCACCTACCTCATTCTTTCAACCTATCCATCTCTAATTGATTGAGTTCATCCATAAAGCGCTGATGTTTAACACATTTCTAATCAGGCCAAAATATTATTAGCCTTCATGGTCCGGTTGCTTTGAGAAGTCTGATCAGGTCGTAACGCGCACCTAAATTTCAGTAATTGGTTCCAATTCTTAAATGCAATTTGCCATTACAATCTAGGAGCATAAATTTTCCAAGATAAGTTAGGTCATGTGTACCTTCAGAAAAGACAAATGCATAGACAGCAAGGGAGAAGCGCTAAAGTCCTGCTTGAAGTATTTTAGAACATTTACTTCGAATGCACACATTTTAATGCAATCATGTTATCTACGAGCGTTTAATAAAAATATGATAAATGAAGCCTTTCATATGGACTAGTACCTAATAAAGTTGTCTCTATGTCTACCATGAAATAAATTCTGATTACGCTGCATGTAAACTTTGTCCCTTACTGAAAGCACGAGAGTAGGACATAAAATTAGTAGGTTTAGAGGTGTATCCCATCCACATGCAGATTATGGTGAGATTGTATACAGAAGTGGTGCCACAACAAACATTTTTGGGATCCATTTTTAGCAAATAAGTCGTTGGTGAGCACGAAAAAGGCATTCTATTTAGCTATTAGCTGATAAGCAACGCCTGATTTGGCAAGATAGAAGGGAAGGCACTAAGGTTGCTCAGCAAGGGGACATGTGATACCAGTGCCGCGTAGGCCACAATACCCATTAGGATTTTTATGCAGATACTGTTGATGATAGGGCTCCGCGTAGAAGAATTCAGTAAGCAGTCTAATCTCCGTAGTGATGGGTCGCGAAGCGCCCAAAGCCCTCTGAAAGACGTCACGCGATGCCAGTGCAGACTTCAGCTGGTCCTCGGTGGAGACGAAAATCACCGACCTGTACTGCGTCCCAATATCGTTACCCTGACGATTCCCCATGGTGGGATCATGGGACTCCCAAAAGGCCTGCAAAACCAATCAAAAGAATGAGCCCTTCAATTGTTGCTATTTAATTTTCAGTTTGAGAGTCAACTATTCCCGGGGTGTCGTTTTACCCATGTCACCCTATTTTCAAGTGGCCTCTTACATCCCCGAAGCTGGTACAAATGATTCAATTTTAATATAGCGGAAACTTGACTAACTAGGGAGTTGCTAATGCGCAAACCCACGCAAAGCGTAGCTGTCCTAGCATGAGATCGAGTTTTAAACTAAACTACACCCAAGGTATAAATAGTCGGTGAGCTCCATCTCAAAGGCCCAACGGTATCAAGACACTGGATGTTTTAGCATGATGTTTTTTAGACATAATTGAACTAGATCTCCTGCAACAAAGACCAGGCCTGGTTCAAATTCCCAAAATTCACTTTGAGCACTGGAAAATAGCTGATGCCTATTTAAAAGACAAAGCTCAATTGGCGATGACTATCATGATTTCAAAAAATTTGATAAAACTAATAAGACTAGAAATTTGTAGATCGCAATAGAGTTTAAGAAAATATGGGAAATAGGTTACGACTAAACAGCATACTTTAAAAAACAGACCCAAAGCCTTGTAATAAGGTGCCCAATCACATACTGTTGAGAATAGGTTTGGTAAAATGAGGGAAAAGCTTCCACATTGTAGAAAATGTTCAACCATTTATTCCATGCAATCACTGAATGTAGCACTTACTTATCTGAAAATCTGATTAAAACATGATTGTTCAACAAGTGAAGTGCCATATTTAGTGACCCCTAGTATTATCGCTTTCGCTAGGGGCGAAGTGTCAAGAACCACCCATATTTAAAATTTACCTTTAGCAAATCATTGAAATGAGTCAGTTGCGGGTTGTAGATAACTCGTACGACCTCGGCATGACCTGTTTCCTTGGTGCAGACATCCTTGTAGGTCGGATTCCGCGTAGTTCCACCGGCAAATCCGACCAAGAAGGATTCCAGAAAAATTAATTTATGGGTGTATTCATAACAAAGTTAGTTCCAACTACATGAAAATAAAAACCAGGACCATCAAACAACGGGATTTTTGATCGAACATGAGCAGCCAGAATATATCCATAGAGCTAGAGATTCGACGTGCAAAAATGTAAAAGATTGGTAGAACATACAAGATCCATAAATAAAATGATTCAATGAAGTGCAATTTACCTGTGTGGAATAAACGCCAGGCATCATCCAAAATAACCGTTCGGCGCCCCAAAAACAGCCCATTCCAAACATAACACTGAGGTAGCCTTCAGGAAAGGGTGGAAACAATCTGGTCGCCAAAACAGCGTGAGTTTCCGTCATTTAACTAGATAAGGAAAAAGCGCAAGATATTCAAAGCAAACATATGTAGCGATTTCATTGGACATGGGTGCTATGCAAAACGTAGAAGCAAAACCATTTTTTCTCAAATTACGTGACAGCTTTGAGTAACCACAGCAGAGGTTGGTGACGAACTCTAAAGGATTTAAGGCCAATCTTGTAAATAAATAGTGGAGGGGTAGGTAAGTATACAAGGAAAGTGTCCCAACTCATAATCCAAGGCTCAAAGCAGACGCTTTTCCATAATATTACACTAATAGAATTTCAAATTCCAATCATTTAAAGGGAGATGATAAAAACACATAGAATTCACAATTAAAGATAGCTCATCGCAGCGATGGTTGAAAGTATCTAGAAGCACAGAATACCTGCTGAAACTACCCATTATGGCCCCAGAAAACTTAGCTGAGACATCCCAGATAAAAACGTATCAATTATAGCAAATTTTATGAACTGAAGGAGGTGAGGTAGAAACAAGGAGAGCATAACTTGTAAGGAAACTCGAATTTATTATAAAACACGTAGGTGCTGAGACTACTTGTGGGAGTTGCCCGGATTTTAACTATCTGCGAAATTCGACCAAAGCAACCTGCATGCAGACAAAGGCATAGGACCTCTGAATTTCACTTGTCCAAAGAGAAACTAGTAGATATTTGTCTAATGAGAGAGGCCAGCAGACAAATGCAGGTAAGTCGAAAAGACTTACTGCACTTTATTCTGGTATCATGGTGAAATAAAGACAGTTGACTACTAACAGTCCATAAAAAGGGTCGACTTCCGAATAGCATAAGACTGTTTGGGTCTTAACTTCTAAAGCCAATCCTGCTATTCTCTTCGAGGAAACGAAACTTTGGAGATACAAATAAAAGCGAATTCACTTACAAATACAAATGCAAATGGAAGAACACAAATACAGTCTACTACTGCCCGTCCAAATGCCAAAACTTCCGCCGGGAAACAACCATCGCGCCACCACTTATAACGAACCTTGAGATCCACTACAGGGAGCCTAAGTAAACTATATTTGAAAAAAAAGTTGTGTCACTTCTTTGTATAGTAGTGATTTTTTGATTCATCAAATGCTTGGATTGCACAAGTGATAGAACATTAGATTGTATAAATAGTCGGATTTGCTTTAGAACCAATTGAGAAAAGGGTAATTAATTCATGAAAAACGCAAATCATTTAAAACAACTGTAGCATTCTGAGACTCTCTAAAGACGAAAGAAGACAAAACACTCGGGCAGAATATATATTCAGCACGGAGAAGGTGTCTGGACTATTGGCATGGCCCAAAAGGCCAGCCCACCCAGCGAGGTACAAGGGGGCTGATTCAAAGTACAGAAGTAGCGCCTCACCAGTACTGAGGGATAAACCGCTATCGTATCACAACATCAGCTTTATTATCCTTTGTCTATCCTCATGCTAACTTTACCGTACTTATTATCACGGTAACTTTTTTCGAATGATGTAATAGGCCCGGTGTTTTTCTCTTTCACTGCAGCATTCCCACCTTTAGGATGAGCAGACTAGTCGGATGAAAACATTCTTTATTGGGTATTCGTAAATAATGAGACACTGATACGCCTTTAGTCGTGCTCGAAGCACGTTACCTCCTAGGGGGCCGATGCCAGCCTATCCGTCAAGAGAGTCCTATTTACTGGCCTTCGATCATATAAAAAGGCGTATTCAAACAATCGTTTATTACAACAAGCTCTATAGTACCTTTAAATTGCACTTCCTTTTCCGTGTGACAAGCGGCATTACTCCCAGCTAACATATTTTTGAGGCGAAGATGCCACCAGGATTTCAAACGCATTGGACTTTGCTATATTTGCTTCAAAACTTTAAGGGAAAGCCATTACATCTGCGCTAATTTTCATACAGGTTGCCATTTGCATTATTACCACTTATTTTAAACTGACTTGACAGATCTCATTTGACACCCACATTCCATGATACTGTTTTGGTCAATCAACTGGTAATCTGGTTGTATAAAAGGACTGCACATTCTAAACTGTATATTTTGATGTTCCCCTTAGTATTATGCTGGGCGCCACTTGAGAACAGAGGTCCATAAAGCGTTCCTAGTTGTAAGTCCATCATGGGCGTACACGTAAGTGTCGACAGAAGAATTGGTAAGAAATGAGTCTTTCACTCTTAGCAGAGTAGAAAATGGTTTAATGCTAGCGCTAAAAAAAAAAGATTCCCGAAGACTTGCTAATGGTTTTAGTAATCATAACTTTTGTTGTGTTTTCTAAAAATAGCTAAAAAAATTTATCAAATGTAAGAAGCATACATCAGAACATGAATTCCTCCGGCAGACGACATTATATGGCTTTTGGCCAAAAGTAACTAGTTCGCTCATATGATAAGCAAAACCCATTTTACTGTTCCATTTTGGTATACTACACTTGAAAGGGACGTAAACTATTCCACAGTAATTTTTAGCATTAACAAGTTAGCAAATACGGTGGCAAGTCAAATTATTAACAAAATAAGGACATTCTGAGAAATACCATACTAGTATAAATAAACCATCTTCAAGCAATTGACATTTCCTATCCTTTTACAAGGTGAACACGTAATAATATGGTAAGTGATTCAGCACCTTTGGCTCAGTATGAGGTGAATGATCAACGTACTACTATTTGAAATAATGTAAATTTTGTCGCACAAGATAAGCCATTACTGGCTAAAATTAACTAAGAAAGGCTTTTAACACTTGAATTTTTATTAACTTACGCTTGTACAAGTTCGCAGTTGTGATTATTATCAAATGTGATTGGAACGTGTGTAAATGTGTCCATCATTTCCCAACGGCAAACCATTTTTTGCCTGCCATGACTGAAATTATCACAAATTTTTTTTATGATTTCGGTCACGTATTATGACTTGGCAATGTGCGTACGCACATGTATACATCGTAATTTTATTCTTGAATATACTTAAGGAAGTGCATGTTAAAATTAACAACTTTCATTTCCTTAGATCAACTGCCTAAAATCACCCTATGAATACAGAGAAAATCAGTCTTATTAGCTCCTGGTAATTGTCACTTTTGCTATGGCAGCATGTTGATTGAGGAATAACACCTTCTGCTATGCATCGTTAGAGTCTGTGCGTAGACGACGACGAAAGTAGCTATTTATCATCTTAAACTCTGATGGACTCAGCCAAAAATTAGAGGTCACGGAGTACTTATATCGAGAATCCACCAGGAAACCAATAATGACAGGCTGCAGACACCGCGGTAAAAAGGTCTGGTGGAGGGTAAGCTCTTTTAGTGGGAAGAAGCTCTTTGAAGTCTAATTTCCGCTTTCCGTATAGAATATAGTATAATCACATATTTTGTTAAACAAAAATGTTTGGTTGTGTTAGGTGATATTTTGTGCTAATGACCAAATACAGTTGGTCCTAGTCTTGAGACGAGATTTGGAATGACACTAGGCGACCCAATTGCTGAAAATATTGCAAATGCAAGCATCGCTGACTTTGACCACGCTGCTAGAGCTGCTCTCCAGTCCACAGGGTGCGGGTCTTAGCGCAGCCTCCTGATTGGTACACTGGATTACAGGCCTACGTGCAGGCAGCATCAAAACGAAGGGCCTTTCATCAGCGTGAAGGCAAACCGTGCCACAGCGATGGCATTTGGTCGGGAAAGGCAATCACCAACCAATCTCTCCACTGCCTCCGCCCCCGCCTCAGCCCCCACCTCCTCAGCAGATGCTGCGTCTCCCCACAATCTGGCTGCACGCCTACGCAACCTAGCGTCCAGTTTTCCCCGCTTCCAGAGCATGTTCGACCGCCAGCGTAACACCCCAGCAGCAACATCATCTACTCGTGGTTCAAATCGTACCGGTATGAAAATGACGCGAGGTGTTGAAACCTACCAACAGCAGATCCAGAAACTCGAGGACATTATCGCTGAGCTGCTCAAACAGGTAGCGTTCAAAGACGAACAAATCGCCTATTTGTCATCCGAACTGGACAAGTATCAGTCAGTATTCAATCAGAAGCCATCAGTTCTTGGTGTTGCGCGTTCGTGGGAGGCCAAAATGGAGATACGGGGCACCAAAAGTGAAACCGACGGTGGACGCAGAAACCGCGGAATTGGCATCTCTGCGGAGCCTCGGGCTCTCAAAATGGACGAGAAAGAGCATCCAAAGCACTACCCCAAAACTGCCAAGTAATCAGTCCCTTTGCACACATTTTTCACTTATTGTATAAATTAGCTAAAGGTTTATCTCTTTAATGCATCAAACTTTGAAGGATTGCGAAGAAATTGAATTAAAATCTCTATCATTCAAATGGCGCAGGAGCTGTGTGCGTTGGAAGGATGAAGTGGGTAAAATTTTTACCTTACGTAGGTAAGAATAATGTTTCCCCGACTTTCTAAATTAACAGAAATGTTTATGGCTACAACGTAGCCTTTTAATACTGTTCTTTGTGTGGTGTAGTGAGGACCTCATAACTTGTCTAAAAAATATGAAATCGGGTTATGAATATGCTTACACTTGAATATGCATTAGTGCGTGAAATACCGAGACTCAAATTCCAAGCTGTTCTTAAGATGTAGATAAGGCTGACACGTGCCCTGCGTTTTCGTAGAAATCACCCTATAACTTCCCAAACCATAAATTTAAACATTAGAAGCTATTACTTCAAAAAATGCAGTGGCTTTCGGACTCCTAAATCAGATGCCAAATCCTCCGATTCTTCGAAGAAGCCACTCAAAGCATGAAGAGAAATGGTCTTACAATGCATTTAACCTAGCATTGTTTTCGCGGTAATCTTGCTAAAAACTCCAGACAAATTATTCTTTAGTTATTTATGTTAACCTGCATCAAAGCATAGTTTTTTTGATCCCAGTTTTGTAGATATCCTCATAAAGCTTATGTTTTCTTCTGCATGAAAGAATGTGAATTCAACCGAACAATAACGTTGAGATGTTTTGGTGCTGTTTCAACTTTCAACTAAATTAGTTTCATTTAGAATAGCCCAAGAAAAGGGTTTCGCGTTAAATGCATTATTTTACCCACCCAACATGTCGCTCACTACCCGAGTAGTTAAGACCTGTGCTACAATAATTCACCCAAAATACATGGGGCTGATTAATTTGACGTCCTTTTTTCATCTCACAATTTAAAATGACTGGCAGTTCTTAAAACATGCCTCTCCTAATTTTCACCCATTCCACTGATGCGTCCAGATTCTGCTCTGAGCAGCCAACAGCCAACTCGAGTGTGTCAACAATTTGACGTGGCACTTAGAGTAACAAAATGTGTGCAATTATTTACTTAATATGCGCAGCTCGATCCAGATGTGCAACCCCATTGGTGCCACTACTGTTGGAATGGACCAGGTCCTGTTCTGCTCAAACAGGCCCTTGTGAACTGGTGCGACCTTAGTAAAGTGCGATTCCGTACTTTAATCACTATGGTTACATTCATTAGGAGGCACATGATAGCCTTGCAGGATATAACCATATTCTGCAAGCCTTATCCGTACACATCTAAAGTTTCATGTTGTGCCCTATGGCTCATTTCTATTTCTGCTGGCTAACTTACTTGAAGGCCAAGGCAAAACAAAATGTACTAATAAGAGCATTTTTTGAAGGCATTTAAAACTGATACGCACCGTGGGTTGATTTAACCAATGTTTTCTTGTTTTTTGGAATGGGATCTGCTTGTTTCTACGTGTAGAACTGTTTGATTTAGCGGCAGTGAATACCTCCGCTAGCTTAAACACATCGGAGGGATAGAACAGAGAACCGAGTGGTGAGATGTGAACTTTCAACTTATTCTTTTGTTGTAGTTATCCAGATGGGAAAAGTAGTGACACCAATCCTGGTGAAGCAAGTTGTGCTCGAGGCCCAAAAACGGAAGTAGTCGGGCAACAATGATTTAAACAAAATCTAAAAGGGGGAAAACAGCCTAGAAGTGGGTAATAACAGCTGTTAGTAATTCACATAATTATTTGGAAGGTGAATAAGTGATACTTAATGCACATGAATATAAACGATATAACTAGCATTTTGGAGAACTGCATATCTATTTTGTTTAGCTTAATGAATGGCGCCTGATTTATGCACTATTTCCACGTACATGAATTAGATGTACGTAGACACTCGGAAAATGAGACGAGGGCCGATGATATTGGTCGAAATTTTAGTACACAAAGTTTATTCCCCAAGTTTATTTCCCATCCTTCCCTATTATTTGACTATTGTTTGCTTTTGTAAATTGTCAACACTTGTGATGTCCAACATTAATTCGACTTCTTTGTTTTCGCCTGTTGATTTTAAAAAGTGTGAGACGCAGGGCGGAACAATTCAGTCAACATGTCGAAGGAATAGCTTTTCCAGTTTAGCCTGAATCTTGACTGTTTTATGGTTACTGGGAGAAAAAGATTAGGACTCCGGCCCCTTGGTTTGACGTAAAGATACATTGTACTTTGCTGAGTAAAGATACCTTCCTTTCCAACGAACTTGTCCCAAAACTGCATTTACTTCCTGTAAATGTGTGCATCTTGCCATTAACTTTTAAGAGCAGATATGTGCCAAGCACTCCACATCCTCTCTTACCGCTCAAATTCGGCGAAACTGTTCAGAGTGTGCCACCTCTTAAACCTAATCGACACGACGTCATGGACTTTGCAACACAGGATAGTGCTGCACATTCTTAAGTCCCACTCTTGAATCATGAAGGGCTTTTAGCCACTGACTAGTGGACCAAAGGGGACTGCAGCGACTTTCCCCTCTTTACCGTAGCACATTACGAATTCTTCAGGAACAATAGGAATGTCACAATAGATTATTTTTCGTATTGGTGGAATTAGGCTTAATTCCACGTTCAAACTTTCAGAACTCGGGAGATACTGAATCAGGCGATTTTGGAGAATGATTTCATGAAGAATTTGGACACCTCACAGGTGGTCGAGATTGTGGAGTGCATGTATTCTGTCAACTTCGCCACAGGCAATACCATTATCCGAGAGGGAGAACTGGGTTCCGTGGTTTACGTTATGGAAGGTAAGTGTAGGATTTGAGACAAATATGCATGCAGTCCGTCAGGTGTTTTCGAAACTTGGAGACATTTCGCTCGAGATTTTATTGTAGCTTTGGAAAGTTGGCTCATATATGTATGCAAATACAACTGGATAGCCTTAGTTACAACTGTCGTCAATCTCAATTATTGAATCAAATGGACCCTGGCCGTTTGTAAGAAGGCCTTTAGTCAATCTGACCCTTCTGTTCTCAATAACACGCATCACCAAAGCGTAATCAGAGGTCAGAGTGCGTTTAGAAACCGACATTGGTCATAAAATCAAAATTCTGGAACCTATCCGTTGACTGGAGAATTACGGTATAATTGCAATTATTTGAACTGCCCTTTAAGAGGCTGTAAAAGACACGCAATCACTTACATGCCAAATTCATAAGGTACGAATTGATAGACTTCATTCTATGGGTGCAGTAACCTTTGCTGTGCTCTTCTATTTTCAACCCTCATATCATAAAATATCATTACAGTTGAACTGACTAATGTTATTCAATCTTACTTCCCTTACGTGTCAAGTTTATGCTGGTACCCCAACTTCAGAAGCCTCTCGTACACCTTTTTATAGAGCCCTTAGAGGAAGTGGGATAGCGGAGAATACCACCCAAAAGTGGTTCAAATGAGCAATTTGACTTTGATGATAAAATATCTAAAGATGTAACACTTTCAGTCCGATTCTTCTCTCCATACAACAAAATAATCATCTGCCACTGTTTGTTAAATTAATGGGGGAATGGAGTTTCAAAAACAACTTTTAGCAATGCATAACGTGAGTGATAAAAGAATTTGTTTTTCTATGCACTAAGTGCTCACATGCCTTCCACTTAAATCTTGAAAGATCGTCCGTGTTTGCAGCACTTCGTTTGCCTACATCATAAAAACCCGCTATGCATTTGGACTGTTTATAGACTGACTGGCTGAGCTGCGATGAGGAATGGTTTTTGTGTCTCGCATATAATTTTTTTTCGAGTAAACGAACACTTTAATTAGTACCTTTAAACGATCCACTAACTACTCACTTCATAGGGTACACACCATGCTTGCTTTGAGTATGTGTTGGACTGCAGACACGAGTATCTAGCAAAGATTTTGCACTTGTTGAAGGCCAAACAACGATTAGGGCTAGATTTCACTTACTGGATACAATCCGACCGTGTTCAGAAGTACATTTCCCCAGGGAAATATCTAAGAGCATTAGATTGGTGGTAAGGTGTTTTAGCCTTACAAGACAAAATACTGCATACCGCAGCAAAACGTACCCCTGAAAAGACCCCATGCTGCATCGTAAGACCGGAAGGAGGAAAATGGATGCCATTTTATCCGTGGCCTCCGTATTTTTTTAAAAGTATTTTACCAAGTGATCAGCGTTTTGTCTTTGCGCTATCACCAGGCAACGAAATGTGGAATGAAATTTAGTCTGGGCTAGACTGTCTTTTGGGGAGTCGTCACAACACCTAACATTATTTTTGTTTCAACAGTTTATTTAGGTGATGGTTGCAGAAATTCGTAAGTTTTTAGAGTTTTAAACAGTTCGAACTTTTCTAGTTACCCCACGGCCCTAACCTAATGCATCTTTATTCACTGTAATAACACAAATAGCCAATAGTATGTTTGGGACTAAGAAATTGGGTGGTGATAAGTCTCGAGGGAGGAATAGTTAGTAGCCGATTGATTGTCCACCGAACAAAAACCCTTTAGAGGAAATTATAATAATTACCACACAGCCCCACTTTGCAATGCTGAAGCATTGCCGAGTACATTCAGACTATGTGACAGTGTTTCTGGCCAAATTTTACCATATGTCGTTATTTGCTTGCAACCAGATGTCATGATCAGAACAGCAAGTAAACACTGACATATGCCACAAATCAATTTGTAACATTCACTGCAATAATTAAGATCAGATCAATTTTGATCGAAGAAAGTGTCAAATCACAAGTGAAGAATCCAAGTTCACGTTCCCTAGTTGTCCATGTTGGTCCCTAGTCAGTATGAACATGAATTGAAGGTATTCCTACAAACGGATTGGTCGTAAACCAATCCTCAGTACTTCTATTCCTAAAATGACTTAATACTAACCGATTAAAAGGGAATTATTATGCTCTATTGCAGAATTACCCATCATTTAATGCGCAGTTCTCAAATGCGTGTTTAACTACAAAGAGGGTATGCAGTTCATTAACGATTTTTGGCTGATAAGTAAAGGCACACTTCAAAAGCGACGTGATCAAAGGCCTTCACTTGTTAAATGTTTCTATCCACTCCTACAATTTTACAAGTTTTTGTCTAGCATTTTACTTAACCAGGCGGATTTTATACCGGGACGGAGTGCTGTGCTCCTGTGTCATAGAGGTCGATCCCAATTCAACTTATTTCAGTTGAATTGTGTGACATTTACACCCTTTTGTATTATCCGCAGAAATACGTAAAATACTATTTACAAAAGTACTTTAAAATCGCTAAACAACATCTTGAAAGTAGACAGAATGTCATGCATCAACTCACTAGAACAAAGTACTAGGCATCAGTTTGATTGATATTACTTTATGCCCTGTAAAAGGAATCATTCATAAATTGCTTTTATTTAAATAAAAGTGGTTATTTGGAGAAGTAGCTGTAGTTATGACCAGCGACTACTAAACCATTGTTAGTTATGTAACATCAAAAAAATTCAAAAGCAAATCGCTGGGTGGGCTGAGCTGGTAAGGTGATGATTTGATGGGAACAGGTTAGGATTGTTTTTTACATAAAGCACCAATTGTACTAAATTAACCGAACGGCTGTAGCTCCCAAGGAAGGCACTGTTAACATCGATTCAAAGTTTTTCAAATTTGAGAAGTTTGGCAATTTCTACATTAAAGTAACTGCTTTTTGTATTTTGCAGAAAAAAACAGCTTCAAGGGGCACTAGAATACAGGTACATGCGGAAGATGTTACACAATAATTATTTGTAGAAACATTTTCTTAACCTCGTTGTCAGTCGACATCATCCTTGATTCTGAGTGGATTACAAACCCGTTATATATCGTGCATGTTATACAGCAATGTTTGAGATCAGCTTTTGTGTTGTAGTTATTATCGGGTACCTAAGGCAACTTGCTTATATAATAACTAAAATTCCTAACACATCTAGGGGAGTAAAAACAATTAACAAAGTTAGAATTACTTGCTTCTTGATGGCGCTTCTGTAAAACTATTAATTTAAATGTGAATTTCCAACGTCAGCCCATCCATCTTGATTTGATGTTAAAGTACTATCTGAGAATGGCTGCAGATTAAACGATGCTTCGCATTTGTTATAAACATTAACCACCTACTCTTAATTACAACAAAGTATTATGGTTGCATGGTATAATTTTAGTTTGGGTTTTAAACATTTTGAATCCTGCTTTAATGGCTTGAATTCTCACAAGAGTGATGTTGTTGAACCGAATCTGCTGCATTTAATGATAGTGCGATCTATTGAAACATTCAGCTCTTGCAGGAGAATAGTGTGAAAGTGTACGAAAAGTGACTGATGCAGGCTTTAAGGCGACTTCACATATGTGATTGCTTATTGGCTTCTACCAAATACATTTCAACCCCCTTTTTATGCTAAAACAGTGGCCGTGTTAATAAGGTATTAATAATTTGCCCGCAATTTAGGATACCTTCGCTTCGCTATACACACTTTCTGCATACTTCTGTATCCAAGAGTCTGCAGATCACAACGTTGTCCGATCAGAAAACAGTGATTTGGTGGCAAAATAAAACCCAAATTTTAACACCACTGCGCAATTTTGTGACTTTTGGAATGTACAACAGGAGTGAAAATATGATGTATTTACATTTCTTGAAGATGGGGAATTCAGAAGACGCAACAAGTATTCTCTTTGTAGTTAGTCCGTCAGCTTCATCAAGCTTATTTGACATATTTGATTTGCACTTGACTGGCAGACATCTCTTGCCATTTCACTTTTCAATTCTGTGAATTTTCTAGTTAATTACCGCCTATCACTTGTCTTAAGTGATAAATTTTAAACTGGCAGCCTGCGACAAAAAGCAAATCCACATAAAATCCCAAAAACCAAATAGCTTTGTTTCGCGTTGAACCTTCACTACCCTTTGAATCAATTTTACCGTTTTTGCCTTTTCCTTGTTTCTCAGAAAAAGGAGAAAAAGGGTTATTGAGTTTCATCCAGCATCTTTGCTCTCCTGAGGAGTTATGGTGGTGACATTGAAATACCGATTTTGCTGTCATTACTTCACTCGGCTAAGCGTTGATGTACGTGCCAATTTTATGAGTCGATGTGACTGAGTGATTACTTCGCATCAAAACAGCTTTTCCGTTTTACAGATCCATCATTTCTAGTTTAGTTGTTCTAATTAGAAAACATATGTCCATTCCCAATATTTTCACTGGCTGTATTAGAAAAATCTTCAACTTCACTATCTTATTCATTACAAAACCCTATTAATGATTCATGTCAGTATCAGTAAGCTATTCTCGTGTCAGAAATAAAAACCCTCGTAAATGTAAGGACAAATTTGTTTATGAAATGGTTTTAGACAGACTTCAAACTAGCTCTTATCTATGGTTCCCTACTTCGTTTTGACACTTTTTTTAGTCTTTGATTTGATTTCCTTATGTTTCCCGATTATAAACCAGCCCTGTAAATAAGTGTTAATTTCTGGGGCAAATTCCACTGACTGTTAATTTAGACACCTTTAAGTATCCTCCCGCATTCACGGGGATATTACCAAATTTTGAACACTTTGTTAATACGCCAGTTTGTGACAATAAGATGAGCGATCTCTAAATAAACGGAATTACTTGCCAAGTGTATTCCACCAGCATCGCCAAGGCTGTTTTGTTAGTCATTTATCTACTGACTTGCAAAGTTTTGTTCAAAATCAAACAAATACAGCACATTCTTAAGTCAATTTTTATTTGTTACAACCAGTCACAATTTAGGTAAACAGTGAATTAATTAGAATTGTCACCACGATACAGTCGCCCTTTGTGTGAAGTAGCAAGCCCACCATCCAAAATGCCATTGGCGAAAGATTTAAAAGGTACAGCAAGTTTATCAATCTGCTCTTTGATCCTCAGCTAAGAATGTGAAATTTACCTGCTTTTAGGCAAATTACTGTCGAAATTGCTTTGGAGGTTTTAAATGCTTTCACAATTGTTAGTGCATAGCAAGCGAAGTCTAATAGAGAAAAAAAGCCTTTTTTCTATTTCAGAGGGAGTAATAGAGGTTAGTCGAGAAGGCAATCCGCTTCGCCTAATTTCCCATCCAACAGTTTTCGGTGAACTGGCAATCCTCTACAACTGCATGAGAACAGCCACAGTAAAGGGTAAATGCACCGCCGTGCATACTTTCCATTAAAATCGTCTGCATGAGGGGCGGGTGACGTTTTATGCTCTCCCAATTCCCCTTAATTTTTAATGGAACCTGCTTTTGTTTGTGGAGCACACGCGTTCAGGAATGATGGTGTCTCCCTCTTTTTAATGTTATTTAGCCATCAATCCCTGTTCTTTGTGGGCAATCGACCGGAAATCATTCCAGGCCGTTATGATGCAAACTGGCATTTTGAAACACCATCGGCATTTGGAATTTCTCAAAAGGTAGAATTTGAGCCAAATTTTACTAGAACCGATGCTTAAAGCTCGGCTTGGTGGGCAAAACCCTTTGTATTCGACTTATAACATTGGAAAAGTAATCACTCGATGTTTTTTAGCTACCAAGAATTATCTTCTTTAATAATAATTGTGGAAAGGCAAATGAACTGGTAGATTACTTGGGGGAATTATGAACTATCTCACTAATTTTTTGGGAAAGAAAACATTCCTTTTCAGTAAACCATATTACTTTTACCAACTTCCGTAATCATACTGACGAAGTACCCGAGCCTTTGCATAACTTTAGCCACAAATGTGATTATCTTTTACTTTACACTAACTTCATGGGAAACAAGATTTTTACATCATGACCCTGGAAGCGGATCTCCTTGTCTTGACTTGACTGTAATAAATGGGAACTATTTAAATATATAATTAATTTTTGAGCCTACGAGGAGCGACAGCTCCGCTGTAAGAACTATTTACCTTCAGTAATGCTTCTAAATTGTACATTTAAGACACTCCTCAATTAACTGAAAACTAGAGCTAAACCAGTCTTCATAATACCTGCCTATTCTCATTCACGCTTATCCATGCAACAAGGCGCATTTTGATTGGACCAGCAAATCATGCGCCTTTATTAAGCACCTGTACTTTTACATCCACTACTACAGTAAGGTAATTAATATTTTATAATGCTACAAAAAACACTTTTGAAGTTTGCACTGTTGTTCTTTGCGCTCCTTTTGTAGGCAAGAAAAGTGACTTGCCTTTGCTTCCAGAATGATGAAAAGGAGAACCTTGGAATTATAGAATCGTAGAATTACTGTCGGGATTAAATTGTCATTAAGCATGAAATGTTGGATTTACATAAGTACCCATTATATAATTTGATGTTCCAATGACATCCCAGTCTGATTTTCCTTAAATTTTCACTTCCTTTATTTTTCTTTAATTTCTGCTCTTTCAAATGCCTCTATGGTTCGTGACTGCTTTTTTAAGTGCAAACCGGGATAGTTATTTCTAAAATTTGAACATAAAATAAGTAGCATTGAATAGAAAGAAGGTAAAAAACCGCCTAAGGCTTCTTTAATTTATCCCAAGGAGGTTCTATTTCTGGTTTTAATAGTAGCAGGCGAAAGCAGCCTTAAATAAAGTATCCGAATGTCCATCTGCTATCCTAGGGACATTGCGTAAACTAAAAGCGGAAAATGAAGGAAATTGGTTTTTACATAGGCGTTCTGTAAATTAGAGGATAGTAAGAAGCCGCAAATCACCCTCTTTTCTGTCGTTGCAATAAAAATGAGCTTCCAAATGTTGCACTCCACTTTGACGCTTGGTAGGGTGTTGTGATATTTCCTACAATAATTGAAACCCTTCAAAACTTATACAAAGATGTTTCTTGACAAAAAGTTTCCTGAAATTAGAGGAGTTATTAAAAAGTTAGTTGCTGGTATAGATTATCTGAAGGCCAAGCCTAGTGCGTTAGTTAGGTTGCAAACTACATAATTAGTATGTTTTGATAAGAACATCGAAAATGCTTTTGAATCCGGCCCTTCTCGAAGTGAGCACCATGAACTTCCGCAGCGCGAGCTATGAATGGAGGATAAGTTTCGTAAACTTAAGCCATTTTATCCAGCTCCATTAAGATGACTGATTTTCTGCACTCAGCGTCCCAACATTTGCCCAACTGGCGTCGGAGACGCTGGCCAAATTTGTGGACCTTCTGGAGGAGGTGCATTACGAGCCGGGCGAGTACGTGATTCGCCAAGGGGCAAGGGGGGACACCTTTTACATTATTGCGTCAGGGCAGGTGCAGGTGACACAAAATGCACGATCTTCAACAGATACTCCACTTTCATCAACATCTCCGAAAGAGGAGAAGGAGACCTTTGTCCGTCTTATGGGTCGAGGTGAATGGTTCGGCGAGAAGGCTCTAAAAAAGTGTGTTTTTTGAGTTTTTGTGCTAGTAATACATCTTGCCAGAATCACTTGAAGGTAACTTAAAACTCACTTTCGATATGTAGTGATTTGCCTTCTAATTATACACCTTGATATTACAGTGAATTGAACAACAATTTTTGATGGGTTCTTTCAAATTTCTAACCATAGAATCTTTCACAACGTTCAAATAAGGACTTTTAACTCTTTCAAATAAGCGGTGCTGACGAAAGCTTGATATTTGATGAGTTACTTTGGTAAAATCTGGTAGCTAAATGATAGATTCATTTTGAATGCGTCAAACACGAACGCAATAATCCATGGAAATACCGTCTTATTTGATCAATCCATGGCACATCAAACTTTCAGTTTCAGTCTGAAGTGTTTGCTTTGTTACATTCGAAACGCTCGAAGCTCTACACTCCAACTGACACCACACTCAGACGTTCCATTGATATCATCAGTAAAGCATACTTGATATATTTAATCATTCTA